ACGGCTTGAGGCGGTCGATAGAAACTTTTTGGCGACCTCTTGGCAGTTCCAGCTCAAAATGTTTGGGGGATCTTTCCAAGATTTTGTAGGGTCCGTCATACGTAGGTCGTAATGGAGGTTTAATTGCATCTCTCCGCACAAAAGCGTGTGAAGCTTTACTTAAATCCGAGTGAATGTAAGGAACCTTCCTGCAATGTCGTTCAGTCGGCACAGGCTTTATTTGGTTCATATGATTTTTTTAGTTTATACACGAACGAAGGTACGTCTGGATCAGCCTTGTCCTCGTCAAAAAATTCGAAGGGCAATCTAATTGAAGCTCCGTATGTTAGTTCTGCCGGAGAAGCTCCTGCGCTGACTATAATAGAGGAACGTAGACCTAACAGAACCATTGGAAGCTTAGACACCCAGTCGTCTGTCATTTGGGCTTTTAGGGCCGTTTTTAGATGTCGGTGCCATCGCTCAATTTTTCCATTTGCGGCCGGATGGTACGCCGTTGTCATAATGTGCTGTATTCCTAGAACCCGGGTGAGATGTCGAAACAGGTTGGAGTCGAACTGTCCACCTCTATCCGTCGTAATTCTTTGGGGTACTCCGAAGAATCCATGTGCTTAACAGGGCTTCTGCTACAGTTTCTGCGGAGGTGTCGACCACTGTAACGGCTTCCGGCCAGCGAGAAAAGCGATCTATGGCGGTTACTATGTAAGAAAAACCTCGAGAAGATGGAAGTGGCCCTACAATGTCCACATTAATGTGTGAAAACCTAGTGTCCACTTTGTCATAGCTGCCAATCGGACTGTTTGTGTGCCTCGAAACCTTGACTCGTTGGCATGGTATGCAGCATTTCGCCCATTTTCTTACATCACTTCTCACCGATGGCCACACAAATCGGTCACTGACTAATTTAGCTGAAGCATTGCGGCCAGGATGTGCGAGATCATGTAGAGAATGAAAAACGTCCATTCGGAGTTCTTGAGGAACATACGGTCGTATTCTTTCTGTAGATGTGTCGCAAGTTATATGTTTGGAAACCAAAGGCCTTTTTTAAAAAGATTTATTTTACTTTAAAACATATAAAGAAGATTACAAGACAGAAAAAGGCGAGAGAATCGTCAGAAGTCGTACGCCTGAAGAACGGGGAGAGAATACGCGCCGTTTGAGATAAGCGCTAGGTTTATATGAAGTCGTAATGCAGAGTCAGCTGGGGCAATTCCTTCAACTCTTAACTCCTCCATCCCCAAGATTGAAGCTGTCCTCAGCTTGCAGAAATTTTTGGCAATTCATCAGAGGCTGGTACTGTAGGACGAATGGCCATTTCCTCGAGTGAAGATTTTTTCCATAAGATCCTACTACATTTACAAAATAATTTCTTATTGATAAAATACTTATAACATAGCAAGAATAACAATATTATTATTATTGTTGACATCAATATTGTTGTATAATTGTTAGTATTTTCTTCCAATTCCTCTAAGGGTTCTATATTCATGTTAGCCTTATGAATTTGCTCAAAAGTAAAATTAGTATAGTGTTTGATTGAAGGAAGTTCTGATGGAATCATCACTTCACTTTCCCAATAAGTGTATGGTTGTACAAAATTTAACAATATTTCTGACTTATTAAGAGTTAACAGTTGCGTAAACTTTGGATATACAGTTATGTTTACATGATTAACATTAATAATAGTTTTGCTTATATTATACATAAGAAATTTATTAACTATTGGGATATATTTAATAAAAGATTTGACATAGTTTATAACTAAATGTTTACAAGTAGATAATTCTCTATCATCTAATAATTCACTAATACATTTATTTGCAATTTTAACAACATTTTTACAATAATATTTTTCATTTATTAAAGTGCAGTTACCTGTGAGTAGTTCATTATATCTCAGGACAAAGGAGGGATACTCATGTATAGTAATTGTTTCATTGTTTTTATAAACAGGATAGGACAAAAGAAAAAATGTTTCATAAACAGGAGATTGCAGGGGTAATTGAACAAAATAGGAGATGTATTCGTTGTGCATAGAACAATGTACATTACTTAGCTGCCATAATGTTGCTATTTTTGTTAGAAATTAAAGATATTTTGGAGGTGCTGATGACGTTAGCTAATTCTTTATAAGATAAGATGCTGGAATGAATAACACTGAGTTTACAATATTCTAGACTTGTCGTTAGGTCGACAACTTTGTTGAAAAGCAGCATAAGCGTTTGAGATAAAAACGAAACTTGCTGGTTACGTTCTAAAGCGCTTTACTCATTGGAAAGATAACTGAAGTAGTTGCTGACTTTTAAACTATTAAATCGAATGCGTTGGACATCTTTATTGAAACTGTCTACTAAGTGTTTATTTACTGATAATTGCTTTTCTACATTATGCTCTATATGATACTCATTAGCTTGAACCTTTTCCAATATTTCATCATATTTTGCTTTATCATTTGCATCCATATTACCTGTAAGCCAAGAAATTGCAGTACCAAGACCGTTAAAAATATGTTTGTAAAAGAAAAGATGGTCAAGTTTTCTTTCTATCTGTTCTATGTGTAATTTTAACATATTTATACGATTTTGACTTACATTTTTGTGTTTAATTAATTCTAAAGTGTTTTTAATATTATCTACTTCAATTTGTAAGACTTTTATGTTAACGTTGTGCATATAAGTATATGTATTGTTTATAACAAGTGAATCTTGTATTTTGATGGGGGTGATTCCAGGTGACTTACTTAGGTTGATTAATTGAAAAGAGGCGACTGGGACCAGGATTGGAAGTAGAAGAATAATCATTTTGGTGTGATTGAATTTCAATCTGGTTCAAACTATCAAGAGGGTATGCGATTAGTTTTTTTGAAAAACAATCTATTATTGTTAGGAATTTCTTTTGATTATAACAGAATGTATCTATTTGTAATTTTTCGAATGGTTTTTCTGGGGTCGGTGTAATTTTATATTCTATTTGAACTGGTTTTCTTTCGTATTTAATCTTTAAACAAATTGGACATTTGTTAATGTAATCGGTTATGTCTCTTAACATCGAGGGCCAATAATATTTTCTTCGAATGTGATTATAGCTCTCGCTTATTCCACGATGATTTGTTTTACCGATGGTAGTTTGATATTATTTCCTTTTGTTCTACTGTATTGGTTATGTCTAGGTTTAGTTTTTTATATCTTTTAATTTTTATGGAATTAAAGTTGGTAACAATTAGGTTTTTAAATATCTCGAAAATTCGATTGTATTCGTCACGAAGTGAACCTTCTCTGGAACACAAAACTCCATAACTTGTGTTGGGTTTCAGGTATTGGACACAGAAATTATTGATTTGTTCGATATTAGTCGAATTTTGGAAATGAAACTTTAGTCTGGTTTTACCAAATATTTTTGTTGATTTAGGATGCTTGTTTCCTCTTTCAAAAATTATTTGATTGTATTCAACGTTAAGAATTTTATCATCATCAACAATTGTTATTTGTTGGTTTGAACTTTCCTGTGAATGAATGGTTATAAGACTCGCGTTATCATTATTATTGTTATTATTATCATCATCGTTGCATTGTCTGAGGAATTCATCAATAACTTCTTGAGGGTCTATTTCATCTTCTAATGTATTTAAGGGTTGACAATTGATTCGAGAAAGTGCATCGGCTACTTGATTAATTTTGCCTTGAACGTGTTTAATTTCAAAATCAAATTCTTCTAATAATAATTTCCATCTAATTAATTTTGAATTGGGCTCTTTAATATTATGAAGCCATTGTAATGGTTTGTGATCTGTTTGTATCAAAAATTTTCTACCATAAAGATAGGGGCGGAAATGTTTACAAGACCAAACAATTGCTAAGAGTTCCTTTTCAATTGTCGATAAGTTCTCTTCTTGTTTGTTTAGTGTTCGAGAGGCGAACCCTATTGGTAAATCTTTACCATTAAACATTTGAGACAATACTGCTCCTATGGCATAGTTAGAAGCGTCCGTAGTGAGTATAAATTGTTTAGAAAAATCAGGTAATTGCAAAATGGGACTGTTTTGAAGAAACAGTTTTAGTTTTTCGAAAGATTCTATGTAACTTTTATTTGTAATATCTATTTTCGTATCTTTTCGCAAAGCAGCAGTAAGGGGTTTGGCAATTAACGACTAAACAGTTGTGGCCACAGACGCCCCCTTCAATATAATTAAGATTGAATGAACTATATTTATATTTATAAAATAATTAACAAATTCAAATTAATAGCTCTTACAAAGTTTCCCTAAAACGAAACTTATAAAATAAACTCTTCATTAAGTGTATAATTCAATTATAATTACCAGGCTATTAAAATTTAAAGCTTCCCCAAAACGAACTCTTCATAAAATATATGGAATGCAATTGTAATTACGTCTTTTAAAATTATCAGTTGTTCCCTCTCCGAACGCTGCACAAGACCTAGCTACCTTTACGTTTTTATTTACCCATTTTTCCCCTTGCCCAAACCCTGTTCCATCTTTCCGAACACCAAATTTTGTGTGGCAACGACCAGTGGCGGTGACAACCTGTTCTTTAAAATTATTCAGAAATCGTGAGATGCGGTCTGGTGTGATGTAGGTTTCAGAGAAACATTTTCTTTATCGTGCCTACGTTTCGATCTTTATTGAGATCATCTTCAGTGAATAATCAATAATCTTGAATAATCAACAACTACAATTCAACACTAACACCATCCACTATTACTAATAATACTACATTAAGTCTATCAAATACAAACAAACCAGTATACATTTCCATGCCATTTATTCAAGGCCTATCACATAAATTACACATTTCTCTCGTACGATAACTTAGCTTTCAAAAATTATAAAACAATCCAAACACTTTTTTCTAAAGTTAAAGCTCCGACACCGATAACAAATAAATCTGACGTAATCTACAAGATCAACTGTTTAAACTGTCCGGCAGCTTACATCAGTCTTACATCCCAATATCTGGACAAGAGAGTAAAGCAACNGCTTTGCAGCAATACTTCCCGCCAATCCTCTGGAATTTCAACATATGATTTAGTGTTGACGTATGCCATGTTCCGATCGCATTCCATGTATGAGTGACCTCGTATTGGAAAAACCACTCTTACTGTTTCAAATCGTTTAACTCTGTGGACAAGATAGTGCAAATAACGGAATACCGTGAAGTTTTTATTTTGCCCAGAGCAAGTCACAAAATATGACGAGGTTCCGTACATCTTTTGATAAAACCGTCGAAACAAAATGATTTAACATGGAGCAAACATCGTCGGCTCCTTTTTTACCCTCAGTTTCGTCATATGTATAAAACACTGAAGAAGAGTCTGAAAGCACATGAATATTGAATGACATAAAATTAAGTTGACGTCGATAGTACGCATCGTTGGTGGTGATGTTCGGCACGGGCAAGTTTCTCTGGAAGTCCATGGCTACTGCTTCGAAATTGACTTCTTTTTTTGCCAATTTTCGAAATTTCCTTTTTATTTTATAAAATTCTTCGGCTTTCTTGAGGTGAAGTGTTTTTTCCAGTTCCTTTGCTTTTATCTTTTGCATAATTGAAGCGTTGTCTTGAACAGAAGGGATCGTTGCAGATAAATCATTTTGAAGAGCTGAAATTTCTACAGCAATTTTATCGCAAAAACTGCAAGTATCTTTTCGCGGATATCCAAAACTAATGTTGAATTTATTCTCAAAAATTTGGCGGAATGATTCGTAGGACAGTGTATACTCAGCATGTTTTTCCAAGTATAATCTGCAATAATATAAACCAAATTAATAATAATATTAAGATAAAAAAATTGAAATAATACGAATTAAAAATCAACATACCTGTGCAGTTTCTTAATGTTCAAGTCCTCCGGCAAGTAAATTTTTTGGCTGTCCTTTAAAGAATAATGTGACTTTCGACCTTTCAAAGACCCAATGAATTGGCAAACGGTGTTCGTAGTCATATCCGAAATTTTCTTAGGCCGGTTTTGGTGTTTCCCTCTCTTGTCTATCGGTGCATCGCCTGTTAGAACGAGGTTTTGACGCAGATGTTGAAGTCTTCCTGATGTTATGCCATGTATTGCTAAAAAGGCTTTTTGGCACACAACTACGTCCTGCAATTCAGANTATTTGTTAAATGTAAACAATGTTTGTAAATCCCAGGCCCTGAAGATGATCTCAATAAAGATCGAAACGTTGGCACGATAAAGAAAATGTTTTTCTGAAACATACATCACACCAGACCGCATCTCACGATTTCTGAATAATTATCGATTAACGGTCACTATCACCAGACAGTTCTTTAAAATGTTGAGAAAAGTTAGACCGGACGTTAAATTCCTTCCTCCTATGCCCGAGATTAGGGTTAACTTACTTGTGATCCCCTATATTTTGCCGTGACGCTATAAACAAGTACAAAAATTCTCAATGAAAATAAAATCAAATTATAATTTCTTCCTGCACAGTGGTTGTAAGTACAAAAATATGTGTCCTTACAATCACGAGTACAGAACGAGAGAGAGAGAGAGCCTGCTCTTTTTCTCATGGCTTTCCTTCCTTCTCAATCCTGTCTCCTTGTTGTAACAGTCCCCTCACCTATTTTGCTTCAAATTTTACCATCACAAAATTTAAAAAAAAGTTTTAAAAAGTACTTTCCACTGGAGGTTTTGTCTTCATTCGTAAAATGTGCTATACAAAGTTAAATAATTTTAAAATGCGTATTTATTTATATTTTTATTATTTTTTTTACATTCAAAACAAAATTTTAAATTTTGAAATATGTATAATTATAATAATAATAAGAAGAAGTGTCACACGCTGGGCGGGTTACTCAAAGTGCTGAGGCAGATGGTACAAAATACACCCAAAAGAAGTGGTTCTTTTTTTCAAGGATAATGGAAAACTGGTTTACTGTATTGAATAATACAGGATTTACAAGTAGATTAATGTACACAGGAGCATATTTATCAAGGAGACTGTTTATACTGCTCTTGTTCTGTCTCCGCTTAGCTACATCATTAACTGTAATTATTTTTTAACCTTATTAAGCTCTACTCAAAAAATACAGATCATGTGCAGAGCATGAGACATTGTCGCAACCTTCTTTGCATTGATAGGTATAATGTAGTCTTCACAAATGTGCTGTTTTGCTCTTCACATGAGGGAGGACCGAAGGGCTTGCTAACACCCTTGTGGAATTGAAAAGAGAACCTTTTGGGGAAAAATACAAATACGTGGGAACACAGCAATTCCTCAAGATTGGCAGAAGGGAAGTGCAGGAAGAACTTTTGGACATATTTAAGAAGATATTTTTTGTGACTGAGAGTTTGACGCCACCATTCAGGGAAACTGAAAGTAAAAGCAATAAACACCAGAACAATTCTTGTGCTAACTTTCAGTGATGATCTAAATTTCAAGGAAATGTGTCGCAAATAGGAATTCAGAATATGACATTACTTCCAAAACAGTACTTTGACTATGGATTAGGGGCTGACAGCATTGAACTTTTACTTGCAAGAAGATCCTCCTATTGCAAATCTAAAAGAGAGAGAAACTGAAAGACAAGGAAAGGAGATACATGGATGGTTTTACGGCCTACAATTATGAGTACAATCTACAACAATCCAGCAATAGATATGAAGCTCTCTCTACTCACTGGCTTACATCAGGCTGACTTTTCGGGGAAGTAGAGGGTTTCTTATGTGCTATACAGGATCAAGTTACAGTGAATAAATCTTACAATCTTAAGGATGTAACAACTTTTGGATAAGTGTCACCACAGCAGCATAGCAGGATTATTGAAGAAAAGTGTTCCGTATTGCATGTACAAACCCAAAAACCAGAAGCAAAGGTCATATCAATCCAGTTATCTTGATACTTAATAAAGCCAAGAAAACAACAGATATCATCGATATTGCTATCCCAAATTACATCTCAATTCTGCAAACAGATGCTCAGCAAGCAGTACTATTGGACACAGCTTGGCATAAGTAGCAAGGAAATGTTTAAATATCACTTAGAATGGTTGAAGAAATTCCCTAAAACAAACTTTTTTCTGAATTTTAGGATCATTTACGTGAATGATACAAGACATGAATTAAATTTTAATTTAAACTGCTACACAGTTTCAACAAATAGTTATTCAAAATATTACACATTCAGTTATTATTTCCATATTTACTACTTATTAACAATATTTACTAAATAAGTTACTAAATACTTATATATTTAATACCAAACAAAAAACTGCGATGGAGCAAAAGGACAAAAAGGTGGAGAAAGAAATTCCTTTGACATGTTGCCCTCGATTGTACCTTCAAATGAGTATTTTTGAGGAAGAAAATCTATTTCCACCATCAAAAGAAATCTATTTCATAACAATATAAATCAACTTAACTCTTATGCAGAAAAAAATAATTAAAAAAAATCTTAAAAATGTCCAAAAGGTCAAATTGAAAAACTATCTTCAAAATAGTAACAAAGTGATGCGAAAGGCTTATAAAACTGTTTGATTCGCAAAAACTCAAGACCCTAGTGCTTTGAAAAGCAGGGGTACTCTAAAAGAAGTGCATCATCCTGGACCATTACGAACATGTTAATCCCTAATATAAAATGAGTTTTTGTTTTTATTATGTTGTTATATACTAGTTATTTAATGATAATGTGTAAAATTTCAAATGCCTAATTTTCATAAATTTTTGTTTTTTGTATTTCACTAATTGATTTATTCAGTTTGCATTGATGAGAAATTATGTTTTTCAATTTACCACAACAGTGAATCACTTTTTAAAGCATCCATAATCATTTGATACACTACAATCTTTGTACTGTTTTAGTAAAATATAATTTTGTACAACAATAAAAAAATAAATGGTGTATGTCTAATTTGTGAAAGGGGAAAAATCCTGCATCTTCTTGTCATCAAAATTGTCCATCTGATCTGTAAAAGTTTAAAAAATATGTCAAGATAAGGAGATAAAAAATTTGCCAATAGACCTGTTAGGCGTCTAGCGTACGAGCAGTGTTTGATTGATGCAACATCGGGCTATCGTTTGGAAGATTTTACACTATCACTATCATGGGGGCATTTTGCCATCCTGATGAATGCCAATGAAACTATGAATTCATCCTTCGCCACGTCGGAAGGATGGAACTTTCATGAACAAGACAGAACACCCTTGCGAAAAGAAGCATTCTGTTGTGAAGAACCTGCCACTTCCATCGCACATGTTGAGAAAGAAAAACATTCCGCTTCAATATGATTCATCATGTTTTCCATCAACTTCTGAGCAGCTATTTATTTGTAATTTGTACAAATTACAAAATAAAGAAAAAAGTTAGTTGAACGAACCCTTTTGTATAGAAACATGTTTCTTTACCACCCATATTTTATCACGTTATTTACTCTTTTCTCAGGAATTGACGTCAGTATGTTCCAAAATTATTGTCCACTTCCACACCAGTTGGGATATTTATGTAAGCATCAATTATAATGCTATAACAATGTATTTCCATTTTGTAATGTACTTGTTTGTTTGCAGCTGAGAAGAATAATGGTTGTGAACAATTTAAAGACCCTCTCGAAGGAGGAGACATTGGATTTTGTGAACTCCTTTGACACTATCTTTTCCAACTTCATGGATCGTCTTCATTCTTTTTGATTTGTTCTATTTGAAGTACGACATTCCGACTGATCAGGTGTTCTGTGGCTTGGGTCTGAAATGATCATCAAGGCACCAGAAGTGATGAACAGCTTCAAGGAAATGCAGAAGAGAGTCTTTTACTTGGCGAACAACAGCAAGAAGTCACCAAATTTGCTATCTGCCAAGTTGGGCCACATGGGGTTTGAAGCGATAAAGGTTTGTCTTTTTGCAAAATGTGTGAGGCTTTAAAAATTTATGACACATGAAACTTTCAGGTTGAAGTCCTGTGCACTGCAGTGCTTCGGCTCAAGTGTCTCAAGATGAAAGACTTCAATAAAACTGCTTACCTTTCAAGTTCAACTGCAGTGAAGGAAGCAATCCAAGCTGTCGGAATATCAACTATCGGGCACGGGGTGAGTTGTCTTTCTTTCACTTTTTTAGAGATGAGTTTCATTTAGTAAAAAATGTATCTACATTTTTCTGATTTTTTAAACTTCATAGAGCTAATGCACAATAGAGTTATGATCGTGCACTAAACATACATCTAATAAGGCCTCACCCCACATAAAAGCCAGACAAAAATGTAAATTATGCATTACGCTGGAGAGAGGAGGCTTTGGATCATGTACAGGCAACCCAATATCTGATGCCAATTGAGCGTGACTTTAGGGGGCGTTCCAAAGCCCCAAGCTTGCCCGGCGAACAACACTGATGGTGTGAGCCCTTCTATCGCTTCTGTACCCGAACCAATGGACATGACGAGTGAATACATGTAACAACAATACAACTGTCAAAGACATCTATGAGCTGATGTATATCAACATCTCTCAAATTGATGCAGTTCAAGACCATTGGCAACAGATATTCGAAACCATCCATTTATAGTTTATCTTGCAGTACTTCTCATAGACTTTTGATCACCTCTGCTTCCAATCCTCAAAGTTTGGTATCTCACATGGTAGATTTGAAAACAATCCAACTCCACGGCAGTTAGTGAAACCAGATGGTTTGCACGAACTATGTGTGGCTTAACAGCTTCGAACTAATTGTATATAAATGCAAACAATAACACTGTGTTTGATTATCATCCAGATCGTACATCTTGTCCAAACTGCTGCTGGGGCGAATTCCTGCGGCAGGTTGTTCTGCAATCTACAGAAATGTACAAAGCTTTACAAGGCGCAGAGAAATATTTGTCGATGAAATCAGCTCTGGAATCTAGGTTAAATGGCGGAGACAACGTTTCCCTTTTCCTTCCCCTCTCTGTTCCTGGGTTATTGAACTCGCACCCCTCAGACAATGATTGCAAATAGTAGTGTTCTTATGAACTCCCGGGTGGGCGATCTTTCTCACCTTAAAATTAAAACTGAACCAACGATACCAAATAACCTCGATTGAGGTTGGGCTCATGGTGGTTATGGTTTGAGAACAACATTTAACTTAGCTGGTCTTTCTAAAGCCCGAAATTTTATAATTTACACATATTAGTTGAACAATGTGAGAAAAGGGAAAATATAACAGGTGATAAAATGAAAATAAATCGTTAATTTTCAAATTTATTTGAAATAATATACATTTTTAAATTTTTGTAAATAAAAATGTATTTCTAGTGCTAAAAAAATAAAGTCTATAAAATAGAAAACACATTTTCCAATAGTTAAGGAATTACATAATTTATTAAAATAATTGATATTACATATTAAATATTATTACATAATTAAATTATATTAAATACTTTATGACTTGAAATAATTAGTTCAGAAGCAATTTATTAATGCTGTTATTTTTGTTGCAATTTATAATACTGATCTAAACAAAGAAATTTGAGGTACATAGTTAATTAATAAATAACATATAAGCAATGACTAGCATTCAAAACTATTGAAAAACAACCTTAGACATGTTTAATGTTTTATTGTATTGTTTGTTTTATTTCTTAACAGATGCAGCATGGAAATAGCTTTCTTGGATGTACAGATGATGGAAGACGCCGTGCAGTTTGATTAAAACAACAAGTTAGACCTGGTGCCTGACTATTTCACCTGTACAATTGCTGATTTACTCGAGGTGTTACATATGAGCAACTCTACTTAGCATCAACTCAACAGAATATTGTTTCATTGTATAGATGGAATTTTGAAATAAACTTTTAATAATTTGATTATTTTTTTCCTAATGCCTAAATTCCTAAAACACTCACTCACAAGGAGAATTGGTACAATGCATAGTTCCAAATTTCAAACAAAATTCATGAGAGTTTAAGAGAACATACAACATTAACTGCAAAAAATGTACATGTAAATTTCATTAATATCAGCATTCAACATCTGTTAACAGGAAAAACGGCTCCTTATATCCCAATAGATACTATCATAGATCAAGACGTAAATAAATAAGTAAGTAAATTGTCCAACTTATCAATCCTTAATTCATTTTATTTATCTGGATTGCCACCATGTTATTAATGTGAAGGTTGATATTCCTACCATTCTTCTTAGAAACATTGCCCCCCCCCCCATTATTTAATGTACTGTTACTTTCCTTTGGGGTATTAAATAGTGAGGATTGGCAAGCCATGAATGGAAATGACCAAACTATATAATACTTAATAGTTTCTATATTACGATGGAAGCTTATATAAGAGAGGGGGGTTCAATTAGTTTTCCATTGCAGAATATCACTTTCTGAAGTTTAAAAGTTTTATGGCATGTAAAACAACCTTATAAATTATTTATGGGCACATTAAACTGTACGAAGCTGACTTTATTTCTTATGAGTCTCAATAAATATTGTCTCGTAGAAACTGTGTGTCACTGGGTAGTACGAGTTTATCTCTTAAAATTTTCTGTACTGTTGTATTGAGCAGGGGTGAGCAGGTCGAGGAGGTCCGCGATAGAATTGGTGTAGTAGTGAGGGACCAAGTGGTACATTCCAGAAGCCTTGTACTCTTTGACATCGTCCAATTTATTATGGCCGGTCAGGACAAGCAAAGTCTGCATGCCGAGTTTTCTGCCAAACTCAATATCTGTATCACATCTGCAAAATATATTTATACATTTATTTTTTTAAAAATATAAATGCGTCTTAAAAATGAAATTTTGCCTGTACCTATCACCGATCATTAAGACCCTTTTGGGATCCTGTGGCCGGAGGCTGGACACATATTCGAAGGCGAACTTAGATGGCTTGCCTACTATCGTGGCTTTCCTGCCACTCGAGGACTCAATCGCCTTTATGAAGGAGCCAGAGCCTGATTTGAAGACGAGTTGAAAACCAGCATAAAATTGACCCTGCTTAACTAAATACTTACCAGGCTCGAAGCCACCACCTCGTTTAGGCAGCTTGTTATCAGGGTTTGTCGCCAAGAACGGAATGTGGTTTGCTCGGGTGAGGTAAGCAGTAGCTTTCGCCAACTTCGGATAGCTGAAGTGGATGTCAAACCCGACAACCACTGCATCAACATCAGGCTCGAGAAAAAACTGTTCTTTGAATCCCTCAATGGGCATCACATCCGGCTGAAAAAACACTTATTCATCGATATTGATTAACTTTTAGATATGTTCAGAATAAAATAGCTAATGAAAATTGGCAGAAAAATTGGTTATTACTTATTAGTTTAGTGGTATTAATAGCTATTGTTGAATTATTAAATAGTGCGATTGGGGTTGTAGTTGATAGAATTGGTACAGAGAATTACATGAATTTTCTAGCAATGTAAAAAACATAAGTGCGACAGCTGTTGTTCTTTCAATATTGAATAGCAACTAAGGGCCAATTTTGATTTTATTAATAATGATTAAAAATCTCTTGATTAGCTGTGTATACTTGTAAGTTCAAATCAGCATAAATTTTCAAAAAACTACAATAGTAAAGCTAAAAAAATTGAAATTTCCTAGGTTTTTTCTCCAACTAATTAAATTAATTACAGTACAATTAATTTAAATTACATTTTCAACATACTAGTAAGAAATAATCTGTTTGTGAGATGTTTTGTTGAGGACTATAAGGTCATGTACTTGTAGTATCATTCTGGTTCGTCAGTCCATCATTTTTGTAGGAGTGTTTATATACAAAGAAAGACCAAGATGATTGGAAATGATTTAATTTATATTTTACTAACAGGATTTAAATATGGTAGGAGTTGAAGTTATCTAAATATTTCAAAGTTAATAGTAAGTAGCTTTGTTGGGTGTTATTTACAATATACATATATTTTATTGTAGTGTGTTCAGGCAGCTGATTGATTTTAAAATTAAAAAAACAGAAAATCATTGAAAAATTCAAACATACCCCACAGCCCACACTATTAATGCCAATTGCTTCTAGTTCGGATTTGACTGCAACAGGGGCGACGAGATAAACCTTTTTTGAGATTCCCATCGACCTGAGATACTCTGCTGTCAGCATCGCGGTGCCCAGAACTTCATCCTGAAAATAGACGATGTCACAGGGAAGTAAGGCGGGCTCCTATTTGTCCTTACCACCTCAGCATTGAACCCCAAGGACCTGAATTTTTTGAGTAGCTGCTCGGTGGTTTTGGTGCTGCTGTTCGTCAAGAAGTAGACTGCCTTGAACGTCTTGTAGGTGTTGATGGTATCGACTGCCCGCTTTATGACCTTGGGACCCCACCAGAGGACTCCTGAAATCCTGTTATATGTTATGTGTTCATTGTAAAATAAAACGAAGAGCCGGTTTACCATCGCAATCAGTGATAATAGTGTCAAAGGAGTTGATGAAGGCCTTTTTCTCTATGGATGTCATACTTTTCAATTCTTTCAAACATGTCTGATCCATCTTGGAAAATGTCCCACAATGTAATCTCAACAATTTTAACACATGAGTTCCAAAAAATAAAAACTACCTTTTTGAAATGAATTGAGTTTAGTTTATACTATGTGTTAATGTTAGATTTTGCATTTTACATGTCGATAAAATAAGTTTACAGGTATATTACAGAATGCACTGATTGCAACTAAATCTTTTTTTTTTTAAACTTTAACTATACATCTGTACTTTCACAACAGAAGCTATTCTGTTTATTTTAATAATCAATCTCTAAATAAATAAGCAAGGTTAATATTCTTTTTGTCTAAAATGGAAGAAACTAATGAAGGTGTCAAAAAAATCCCATCTACAGATTTATTTTTTAAATTAAATATATGGTAAGTGAAAGCGTAAGGAAGGTAGAGATATATAGATATTTTATATATGTTAATATTCCTCCTTAAATTTTAAGTCCGGATAAAGTTTGAAATCCTGACAAACATTTTAGACTATTTTCTAGGCCATTTGTTAAAATATTGATACATCTCAATAATTTTATACACAAGGATGTAATGTTTGTCATAGATTAATAATGGCAGATAGATGCATATCTTGGAGAGCTGAGCATTCGTCTGGATTGGCATCTTCCGAATCCATAATTTGGGTGATAATGTTTATTAACTGCTTAAAATCCACAGAGGAGCCAAATCAAGACATTCTCCTTCCCCTCCAAAGCTTCACTCCATAAAAATCTAACAAATGTCTGACCCAATTGAGATATTAGGAAAAAATTAATCAAATTATTAAAAGTTTATTTCAAAATTTTATCTATACAGTGAAACAATATTCTGTTGAGTTGATGCTAAGTGGAGTTGCTCATATGTAACACCTCAAGTAAATCAGCAATTGTAGAAGTGTAATAGTCGGGCACCAGGTCTAACTCTTTGTTTTTCTCAAACTGCAAGACGTGCTCCATCGTCTGGACACCTGTCAGGACAAGCAATGTTTGCATTCCTGTTTTCTTTCCAAAAGCTATGTCCGTGCTGCATCTGTTAAGAGATAAATAAATAATAAAATAAAACATTAAACATATCCACTGTTGTTTTTCAATGATTTTGAATGGTAAGTGTTAGTCAATGCTGTAATATGCTGTATTCATTAAGTATGTGCATCAAATTTCTTTGTTTAATTCAGTATTATAAATTGCAACAAAAATAGAAGTCTGGAAAGATGAATACACCTGTATATAGTTAATATTGATACTACTATTTTTTAAACATAACTATCTCACCTATCACCAATCATTAAACACCTTTTTGGATTCATATTGAACGCCTTCTGAACATATTCAAATGCAAAAGTGGATGGCTTGCCCACGACTGTCGCACTGCGGCCTGATGCCATCTCGACAGCAGTGACGAAAGATCCAGCTCCTGGAGAAAAAATTAACATGAAAAGGTCCATTTGAGTGTTTCTAGATTTACTTACCTGGAATAAGCCGACCACCAGCAATGGGAAACTGAGGATCCATGTTGGTCGCGATGAATTCGACGTCAGGCGAAGACAAATAGGCCGCAGCTTTGACTAGCTTGAGGTAGCTGAAGTGAAGGTCATACCCGACTACTACTGCCCCGACATTTGGATCAATATCAACTGATTCTTTCATTTCAATGATATCCGCTGGCATGATATCTGGCTAAAATGTTATCATAATACTGATTGGTAAATTATTGGGCATGGAAATAAACGTAATAAAACAACTGTAGAATTGAAATCTACCATGAACAATTAGTATTTCTATGTGTACATGCCATTATGCCAATCATCAAGCAATTTTAGAAGACATTCAGTCAATCAAAACTCTGTTCCAACTCTTGGGCGAATAAAAGCCATTTCAAAACAAGTACATATTTGTACTTGCATTTTTAAGTAGGTATTTCAATTATGATGTTATAGGAACTCCAGGGTGCCCTTTTTTTGAAATTTATTTATTTATTTTTTAAAAGTCATATATTTAATTTATTGACAGCGTCATAATTATCAAACCCACTTTTGAACCAAAGTGATACAGATGAGGAGGTTGGTTTTGTTTCAATTTTTTTATGAAAGCCTCTCCCCTCATCAAACTGCTTTTCATAGCCTTGTATAAATAATAAGGATTTATATTAAATGATTTAAGCTATTTATACACTTACTCAAGCATAATTATTCAAAATCGCAGTCTTAATTGTGTCTATGGTAGAGACAATTCAATCCAAATTTATTGTACAGCTAAGATTTTGAAAGATCTGGGACTTTTCAAACCCATCCAAAGCAGAAAACATTGTAATACACTGTCAGATTTGAATAATAATAAATGGACCTACGATATTGAAATACCACCAGGACTGGTTTGAACAAAGTAAACAGACAATTTGTACGATATTCAAACACGGTGTTACTGTTTGCTTTTGTTCACTTTACTTTGAAGCCCTTAAAGCTGCACATGGTTTGTTTTGCTAACTGCCATGGAGTTGGAATGTTTTCAAAACTCCCATGTGAGATAACAAACTTTGAGGATTCAAAACAGAGGCGGTCAAAAGCCTATCAGAAATGTTGAAAGATACCAAATGGATTGGTTTCAAATATCGTGCCGCCAATGCATTGCTTCAATGAGATGTCAGTCCAGGGACAGCAGCGGTAGAAGGGTTCCCATCATCTCCTGTCGTTCAATAATCGCGTCGGGCTGGCTTTGGGCTTTGGGACGCTTGCTAAAGTCTCGCTCGATCGGCATCAGATATTGTGTTACATGTGCACCAAAGCCTCCTCTCTCCAGCGTAATGCATAATTTCTATTTATGACTGGCTTGTGTGAAGGCTGAGGCCTTATTAAATGTCTACAGTTTTTTACATGCTTGCTTTAAGTTGTCACATAAAAATATTATCCAAAATACACTTATTGTTACTTAAATCGATCAATGGCTACAAAATCTACACAAAAATCACTCCACTATGGTACAACTTTCTGTTCTCTACTCATTGTTTTTAAAAATATTTCACATAAAAAAACCTTGCCTTATATGGTAAATAATATTATGTTTTGACTGCCCAATAACCATGTTTTATTTCTTGAATTAATTTACTGCAATTGTTTAACCAATACCACATATGAGGAAAAGAAAGTCTGTCTAAGGCTGTTCATAGTCACTGGAAGACATTCGACAAAATGTGGCACCCAGGCCTAGAACTGAGTCCTCACCTTGATGACTCCTTGTAGCACAGTGCAATCTTTTTGCCTTACAAATCGAAGATATTCAGTGCGCTTTGGAGAAGTCGGAATTATATTGTGAGTACATCAAGGCAGTTTACTGGGGCTTTTTCTCTACCTTCACTTTTCAAGCGATTTCCCAACAAATACATTTTTAAAAACAACCCATTTGCTGATTATGTCACAATACTGTCAAAACAATATACGAGTGAAGAAGCCTATTCCGTGCTACAGAAATTTGCGAACAGCGCCAGCAATTGAAGTAAAAGATGTAGAGTAAAAGTGAACCCAAAAGTCAGAGGCAATCCAATTTACTTACTGTTGCCTGATATCAAATGAAGCAATTTTGTTGCAGGAAGAACCCCTAACATCTATCTACACTATCGGTGTGATATCTGTGGATACATCTGGACCAACTAATATGGGCGACATGTAAACATTGTCACCCGGACTCAGCATCAAATGTACGTGCTGAAACAGCTCGCCAATAAAATCCTCTCCACATAAAATGATCAAAAGGCCTACTTGGTTTCACTAAAATAAAACTAATCTCTAAAAAAGTGAAACAAAGACAACGCACCCCGTGCCCGATAGTTGATATTCCGACGGCTTCAATTGCTTCCTTCACTGCAGTTGAACTTAAAAGGTAAACAGTTTTATTGAAGCCCTTCATCTTGAGATACTGAGCTGTAAGCATTGCAGTGCACAGGACTTCATCCTGAAATTTTCAAATGTCTTAAATTTTTAAAGCTTGAAATATTTTGCATAAAGATAAACCTTTTTCGCTTCGAACCCCATGCCTTGGAACTTGATGGACAGCGAATCTGGCGTCTTCATGCTGTTGTTTGTCAAGTAGAAGACTCTCTTCCCCATTTCCTTGAAACCTTTTATCACCTCTGGCGCCTTGTTAATCACTTCGGACCCAAGCCATAGGACACCTGAATCAGTCGCATGTAATTCAAATGGAACAAATAAAAAAAGAATGAATACATACCATCACAATCGGAAAAGACAGTGTCGAAGGAATTCAAAAATTCCAACTTCTCCTTCTTCGAGAAGGTCTTGAAATTTTTCACAACCATCGTTCTTCTCGGGACAACAGCTGAAAAAAGAAGAATGTTACAAATCGAAATACATTGTGATAATGCTACAAATTAATTGATGCTTACATAAATATCCCAAAAGGTGTGGAGGTTGACGATAATTTAAAAATGTATCTCTGTCAATTCCTGAGAAAAGAGTAAATAATGTGATAAAATGTGTGGTAAAGAAAACACGTTTCTATACAAAAAGGTCCGTTCAACTTTCTTCTTTAGTTTTTAATTTGAATAAATTATGATTAAAAAGCCGCCCAGAAGTTACTGGAAAACACGATGAATCGTATCAAAGCAGAATGTTTTTCTTTCTCAATGGAGCGAAGGAAGTGGCTGGTTCTTCTTAAGAGAATGCTTCTTTTCGCAAGGTTGTTCCGTCTTGTTCATAAAAGTTCCATCCTTCTGATGTGGCAAAGGATTCATCCAAGGATGGCAAAATGCCCCCACGTTAACGATCTCCTACAATCTTCCAAACGATAGCCCGATAGTTGCATCAATCAAACACTGCTCGTACGCTAGACGCCTAACAGGTCTATCGGCGAAATTTTACAAAATCTCTTTCATCTTGACATATTTTTCAAACTTTTATATATCAGATGAACAGGTTTGTTGGAAGTGAAAAGCAGGAGTTTTCCCCCATAAATTGGAGATAAACCCTTTATTTGTTTATTTATTTCAAGACTTACATTTTAATAAAACAATAAAGAAGACATAGTATATCAAGTGATTATGGATGCTTTTAAAAAGTGATTCACTTTTGCGGTAAATGGAAAAACATTTCTCATCAAATTGATTAAATCAATTAGTGAAAGACAAAACAAATATTTGAAAATTAGCCATTTGAAATTTTACACATTATCACTAAATTAACTATAATATAACAACATAACTTAGGTGTTGTAATAATAGAAATAATTTAGGTGCATTGAGTATATCAATTCACTGGTTTGAAAGGGTAGTTCTACTCACAAACTGAATTCTTTTTTCCCTAAGCCACTTAATTGTGAGTGCAAAAATGCATATTAAAACACAATTAAATATTATCCCAACAGTGTAACAAAAAATCATTTTACATTAAGGATTAATAATATAATAATAATAATAATAATAATAATAATACTTTATTGCAAAAAAGAATTAAACATAAACATTACATAATATATAATTTAACAATTAATTAAGGTTTTTAGTTGAGATGAAAAAAAGTTAATGGCACGAGAGGGATTCGAACTCACGACCTTCGGCTTGATACGCCGCTGCTCTATCACCTGAGCTATTTCCCATGAAACTAATATGAAATTTCGTTTTAGCATCTCTAGAGATCCCTAGATATAAATTTTTGTTTGAATTTAAATTAATAGATTTTTATTCCTAAAGTTTTTCCGATTTTTAAGAAGTCGTTCTCTATCTATATCTGATTGAAATGGTTATAATGCAAAAACGGCTAAAAGGATTTTAACATCAAACATACCATTTGATAGAAGAGAAACGTAGCTTTTAAAGACATATGTATTATAAAAATATATCAAAGATTTCTAAAAGAAAATAAATACAATAAGAAAATATTTTTGTCGGAAATTGACAGTTTTTTAAATGGAAATAATAGTCCGGTTTTAAGGTTTGATATAGTTATAAAACGCACTTGACAATTTCTTTAAAACGATTATTAACCATGAAATTCGGTCCCTTAGGTATTGAGAAAAATTATGTTAGAGCTTGCACTAGGAATGCCAGTCACGCAGAAGTTATGTCAAAAAATTAATTTACACCGATTTCCGCGAAAGTCGGTACACCTAAGGGTTTTATAACGCTAGAATCACGATAATGAGGTAAAATCCTCGGCACCTCCGGCACCAGCACAATATTCCAAGTCCCAGTGGTGTTAGTATTACAATCACGAGAGTGGTCCCGCTGATGCCCCAATGTGCGCGCTTCCACCGTCGGCGTCGCAGCCTAGCCTGGGCTGCCGCAAGGGCCTCTTGGTGCACTTCCCATGTCCGTGCGTCGCCTTCCCTTTTTGCTTCTCGCAGCGCTGACGGGGCTGTCTCCCTAGAAAGGTCACGTATCTCCGTAGGGCTGATGAGAGACTGATTCGGTGATCATGGTGGCCCCGCTTGCGTCGTCTAGTGGCCCATCGTCCCCAAGACAGCATAGGGGTCTGTGACATGAGTAACAATTCCCCGTAAATAGGACGCGTCCACGTCCTCGGCGGTACGTAGGAGCTCTGGCATTTAGTCTAGGGACCGTTCGTCCTCTTACTGACCTGGACTGAAGCGGGTGTGATTGCGCGAAGGGACATCCCCCTTTGAAATGGTTCCTTCTGCATCACGGCAACACCTCAGGTCTCCTGCTCTGCAAATGCGTAGATCGTGGGCGTGGCATCTCTGTCTCTTGTCTACCCGTTCTGCCTCGACGATGGCAACCGACAAATCTGATGGTGGTCGGTATTGCAACTGAAGGGAAGGTTTCCCCTTCAGCCCCCTAATAAATGCCCGAAGAATGATGTCTACCTCTCCTTGGCCCACCAGGCGTCCTTGTCCACCTCTCCAGTGTTCCTCAACAGCCTGCGTCCTAAAGCCTGACACCTGTCCGCAAAGTCACGAATTGTCTCAACACTTTTCTGCTTGATTCCTTCAAGTTCGGCGCGGCATCTCTCTTGAGATATAGAGTTTTCAGCGAACGAGCCTTTAATTTCGCGTAGAGACCGTCGTATCCTAATGCAGCTGCGTTGGACGACTTCAGCTTACTCCCCAAGATGAGGATTTTGTCTTCCTCAGTCCAGTTCCCGCAGCCGCGCTCTGGAATCTCCTGATATATTCGTACCAGGGAACTTCCCCGTCGCTGCCTCCCCATTCCTTAACTAGCAACTGCATCCCTAAATCTCTTCTGGCCCTACTGTCGGGACGTAATTTACTCATTAGCTCCTCCTTCTGCGCCTGATATTCCGCATTTGCCGCCGTTAGGTCTTCCAACTGCCTTTTCAATCTTTCCAGCTCACTGTCTTTCTCGGGTTTTGATGAAGCTTTCTCGTCCGGCATGATTCCTATATTCTAGATCAATTCGGATCAACTCAAATAAATTTCACTTATTTATTTATTTTTGTCGCTCGAAAGACGAGTGTTAGCGTTAGAGGCATACTGTTATTAAATTGAGATTTAATCGGCACAAATCGCAATCTTAATTCTAGTAATTCCCATCCAATAATACGATTGTCAAATTGCCATATTATTACAATGCAGTATAATGACGGTATGTTATTATTAAATACGCGCCGGCCGCGATAAGAACGGCTAATCTCTCCCGGCTCTTCACGACTACTTCCGTTGAACGTACGGACGGCTTCAATTCCCACGATCGTAACAGGAAACCCCGGGTAATTATTAACGAAAGGATCTAATCCCGCATCCCATTTCTGACACCAATTGTAATCGGGAGGATTGGGAGGGCTGCGTAGGAAATGATTTAGAATGATTTGCAAGGGGACTTACCTAAGCAGAGGCAGAGCAGGTAGAACATCTCTTTCTCGCTCTCGTACCAGACTGACCCGTCGTTACCTTTTTCGCTAACGAGTCAGTCTTCCCCTGTACCCTTGCACGGCTCGTCCCTTTATTTATTTATGCAATTAATAATTAATAACTACAACGATTACAGTCTATTCCTTACTACTATCAACTTTACAACTACTCGTTAATAACTGCAACGGTTACAGTTTACTCCTTACTACTATCAACTTTACATTTTGTTCGTTTATCTTTTTCAATCATACCAAACTACACTAAAACTGTATTTCGAAAAAGCTTCAGTACGGTGAATAAAACGCTTTACTACAAGTTTTTTTCACCCTCTCTCCGCCGGTTTTCTACCAGCAGTGGAATTAGAAAGTAGAGAAATCGTGTGAAAAAAAGGGTTGTGATCACATTTGTAAATGTACGAGTAACTAAGGATACAAATAAAATAATTTAAAAAAATAATAAAAAAGAATAAATAAAACTGACCAACAGTTCGGCATGACACAGACGTTGTGCGGGTTTAGCATATTCTAAGCCGTTATTTAAAAAAGGAAATCAAACGGACCAACAGTTCGGCATGACAGAGATGTTGTGTGGGTTTGGCCTATTTTAAGCCGTTATGAGCTTTTCTGGGTCAATCTGGGCATTGGCAAATCCTAGGGGCTGACCAATAAGGCCACTTGTCAGCATAACAGTAAATATTTCCGTGTCGCTTGCCCAGGATGTACCAGTTGTTATCATTTCGCCAGCTTCGTTTAGCTGTGACAGGGGTTTTCGTGAAAGACTCCTGAACTAAAGTTGGCGGTACATCAATCTCAAATTAATATGGCCTAGGATAGGCCCTAAAGCTTAGCATTAGGGTAGGTGAATGAGTCGGTACAAAGGACGAGAGAGACGAGTGTGACCGTGCGTTGAGTCAGATATCTCTACATCCTGGCCGGATCTTTAGGAAATAATCAATTCCTTCATCGACTAGCGACAATGGACCCATCCAACTTTGGAGAAGGTGCTCCACATTTTCCTGGATATGGAGATTTTCAACATCGTCGGAATCAGGAAGCGTAGATGGACACTAGTTCTCAAGAAAGTTTAGTTTGTAATAAACGTTTATTTAGATTTTAAGACAAGGTTCAGGTAGTCTGTAAGTTTGTTCTCATTTTGGTATAGTGTTACTCATAGAAAACTAAGTTATCATTGTTTTGCACATTAGTTTCCTTAGTAATAAATGCGTCTTTTTAGGCATGTAAATATTGTGTTCTATTTATTTTAATTTGTTAATTATCCGGTTAATTGGCCTGAAGAAATTAATTAAGTGTGAGAGGTTGACACATCTAGCCTAGTTAGTTGTTAGGAAGACAAACCTTACTTCCTAGTTAAGTTCACAAAAACGCTTTATGTAGTTAATTATTTTTTTGCGGTTCGCTGTTTCCGTTTCACATATTAAAGAGCATGAAATTCATTTCCAATTCAATATTAAACTATCTAACACCATCCGTCTCCGCGGAGCAAAGCCCGCAGTGTTTGAGGATTTGAGTGGAGTGACTATTTCACGGTCTCTATCTGTCAACCACGGTCTGCCACCATCTGTGAGGTATCAGTGAAAGATCTCAGTTGGAAGAAAGGTCTCGGAAGTTTCGGTGGTTTTAAAGGACTTTTTACCATGAAAATGAGGCACAATCACATTTTAAATTGGCCAAAGTGTAACAAAGTTATGACACTGAATGTGAAAAGGAATATCTTATTTTCTGGAAGTGGTGAGAATGTTGAACTTCTACAACCCGTTTTTATTTTCCTTTGTTTTATGTTAATTTCTTTTACATTTCGGGACTAGTTTACAGTAAACTTTTTTTTATTTTACCCAATAAAACATACTTAAAATAAACGAGCAGCAATGTGTACTGACCTTTAGAGAGTTTATATACGGCTCAACCTTTTTATCTTGATCACCTAACTACCA